TTTGGGCCACAGGAATAAATTGTCCTACATGCTTCTGTGTGAGACACCTCCACATCCACCGGTTTGGCAGACGGAGCGCAAAAGTTTTCTGTGTGTCTGTTGATGTATTTTTGCTATGCTTTATCAAGCTAAGTCTAATTATTGTCCCGTTTTCACTGACACACATGTGAAGGAGTTGATTCAAGCATCTATATCAGAGTACAAACCAAACCTAAAGACAATTGTAAAAATGAAACACTGTTTCACTAAAAGCCTTAAGGACTTAGAAAAATAACAGTTCCAGCAAACAATGTGGTGTAAAGCTAATCTTGAAATTGTTGTGCGGCTCTTCACAGTGATGATAAATTCAATTTGGCTCTTAATGCTCAACTGGTTTGACACCTTTCAGCTAAAGGTATGTAACTTTTACAAATTATGTTGTTTTTACATATTCATGCAAACTGTTACCATGCCGAGACATTATAGTATGAGACAGATCATCTGTGAAAAGATCTTGTTCCTCCAACTCCTTTCAGTCGATAAATCAACCTCATGTACTCACTGCTGAATGTGCTAATAGCAGAGAAACAACTTACTGTTGTTCACCAGGAAAACCATTTACCCACCGTCATTGGTGACTATGCTAACTAGCCTTAGCATTCGTCACATCAGGCTCTTCCTGTCTCTGGTTGGCTGTTTCTGTCAGAGCTGTGCATTCATGCACATGACAGCAGGTAAGTAGAGGAGCTCGATTTTTCAAACTATATTTTTGTCATGACATAGTAATAGTTTTAACAAATATGTAAAAATATGTAAAGAATAAAAAAGCATATTATAAAGCATAAATATCTGGTAAATCAAAATATGGCAAACTTTCTGTGCTGCCTCTGTCTGTCTCTCCATACATTCGCTATCTGACAGACACAAAAGGCTAGCACACTGGGCACTCCTTTCTTTCTTAATTTCAATTAGAGCTTGACTGAATGAAATACAACACAATTGTCACTGCTGTTAATGCTAATGTCTCAGTAAACACATTACAGGGGGCTAATCGCACAGGATCAAACAGCAGGCCTTTTGGAAGAAACAGACAGGTGTGTTTGGAGATGCTACGCTAACATAGCACCTCATAATACCCTCAGAGCAAACACACACAAGCCCTTTAAAAGCACAACAATACCAAAAATTGGGCCTGAAGAAGGAGCGGCCGGCTCGCTGTTTGAAGACGAACACAATAAATGGCGAGCCGCAGGTTAGCATTTACTCTCATTTCCTAAACAAACTTCAACGTCTCGACCGTGAATGACTGAAACTTGACCCGACCAGCAGGTCTGCAGGTGTGTTTGACAGGCAACAGGGGGAAGAGATGTGTGTGTGTGTGTGTGTGTGAGTGTGTGTGTGAGTGAGTACATGCATTGTTGGTTCAGGAAGCTGTCCTGTGACATTGAACTTCTCAAAAAACATCACAGCGCCAGTCCTTCATTCTGCATTGATCTCTTTTACTAACTTTTTAATTTATTAACTCTTAAGTATTAAGTTATATTTTCCATACTTGCCAAACCGTTGAAACATGACATAAGACATGAAGTTCTGGTTAGAGTATAAGTTCTTCTATGACTACACTTTACAAACTTTGCCTTATGCTGACAAAACATTCTTCATCCTCCAAAAGAATTGTGGATGTTTTAAAGAGTCAAAATAGTCAAAAGAGAGACAAAATATGAAGAAACGAAGGAATACTTCATAATATGCTAAACTGTGAGCAGAAAAACTAAACAAATCTCCAACAAAAGCTCTACAACCCTACACTCAGATCTCAAATGTATTATTTTTAAAATAAGATTTCCGATTCATTATTTATTTTTAATTCATTAATTTTCCAGCATATCTGTACAGCTTAAGCTCTCAGTTTGGTGGGTCTGATGGTTTCACCTGGCCAGGGCTCTTTAATTTGCTCTACAGTAGTGGTGTGTTGTTCAGAGAGCTGCCTCTCTGTCAACTCCCATCAGGAATGGCTGAATCCCGCCATGCATGGGCTGCTGCTCTGTTTTGATGGGCGACCATGCAGCCAAACACATGCAAACACAGACATGTCATGAAGGCTGCAGCCTGCTACACAGAGCCTCAGAGAGACGGGCAACCAAATTTAAACCAAACGCGCGTAGGCAAAAAGCGACAACATGGTTGAAAAGTGAAGAAGAAACAGTAGCGTCCGGCTGGAATGAGATGATGATGACAACTGCAAAGCTGGATGTAAAATGAAAACTTTCATCAGAGCTCGAGCAGCAACAAACCTGCAGAGTCACATGTTCATTTAAAGATTTGATTAAATTGTAAAACTAGTTTGTGCACTTTTATTTTTGTCATAATGGGAAAAAAAAATCATAAAATGTTTTTTTATGACAAAAATGACTTAAAATATCACACACTAATACACAAATCATTCATAGCTTCCAAATTAGGCAACATACAATATAAAAATGCTTATAAAAATTATTCTTGGATGTTCAGTGTTTTTATTTAATTGTCATTATTCTGTAGAAATCAGTTTTCACTTTGGATTTTTTTTTTTTTGTAAATTTCTTGTCCAAACACCCTAAATTTTTTGACCATGATTGAATTTTAATATCAATAAAAAGCGGGGAAATGTTCAAGAGGGTGAATGTTAGGGTGCTGAGAGAGATCAGAACATACGGAGGCCTTAATCCCTGACGCAGGTCTGCGTGTTCCTAGATGTGTGCACAGAAATGGAGGTAAAAGTTCCAGTTGAAGTGTGGAAGTGTTTGCAACTAGAGAGGTGTTAAAAAAAAAAAACAGCAAATACCAGAAATGAGACGAACCAGAGGCCAGAGAAGATCCAGGACCCAGAGAGCAGCTACAGCGATCTGATAGCTGAACCGATTAGCACATTTTGGTTACCCGCATTCTCAACTACTTGGTTTGTGCTTTTATAATAATCATTGAAAGCAAAATAGTCTTTTTGTTTTGCTTTTCAAACAAACTGGCTCCATTGGCTGGGGCTTTTCTCCATAAATTTAAACTTTCCAGTTGATCATTTAAAACTTGTTGCATATTTTACAGATCTACAGACCCATTCAACACATTAGGATATCATTGAAACGGCCACTTATTTCAGTGGAACACATTATGCACATTAATTAAACACAGATGAATATTTGAAAGCTTTTAATTCTGTTAGCTATGAGTTTCTGCCACTGGATTTACATTTAAAATTGGAATATTACATCAGACCAATAAAAAAAAGAGTAAAGGAAATGTGTGCTTAATGAGATGTATGTTTAATATCTGCTTAAACATTATTTTCAAAAGATACTTGTAATCCAACAAACGAGATGATATTTATGACTATTTATATCAATGCTTACCAAAATGAATACAACTAATACTGCATAACTGATTGATTATTACCACTTTAAAACATTATACAGTAAGTATACCTGACTAAGTACTTTTGGACAGTTCCGTTTTACAAAAAAATACTGTTATGAAAAAGTGTGAAAAAACAAAAAAACAAATTAAATCCACTTTGAGCTACACAGGCAGCATAAATAGAGCATTGAGCTTGTGTAACCAGGGAGGTCAGTGTGAAGATGAAAACTCTAAAACACTTCACACACCCCTCTGTTCACCCTGCATCCAGTTCAGCCTGGAACAACTCTGAGTTTGTCTTCAAGAGTTCACTTGGCCTCTCACTGTGGGTAAATGATCGCCACATTTGACTCATTTGTGTGAATCAGAAAAGAAATAAGTAGCAAAGTCCACAGGCCTAAACATTACCCCAGCCTCTCAGCCTCTCAGCCGAGCCACAGGAGGAGAGCTACACATTAACACGTTCGGCTCTCTCAGCCAGAGCTTTACAACCTTCTAAACACACCCTTTGGATCAGGGCGCCACTCTGTAAACACTGCAACTTTCCAGACGCTGGGATCGGCGGTTCATACAGAGCTCTCAGCCAATCGGAAACCAACAGAGAGGTGTTATACTCTCCCGCCAGAGCCTATGGGAGGCCAGCAGCCATGGAGACCAGCTGCTCATCGGGTGATGGCTGAGGAAGTGTTGGGAGTACAGCTCAGGGTTGTGTTTTGGCAAGCAGGAGTGTATATACACTGCTTGATGGTGGTGTTTTATGGCCTGTGCACCCTGCATATCCATGTTTATACAATCTATTATCTCATCGTGCAGGATGACACTGTTTAGCCCTTTTGATCGAACTTTAGTCCGTTTGTCTAGACAGTCTGGTCCATCTGGGGAGGGGTGAATGCGTAATTAAACTCTGACGCGGACCACAAAAGCGAGCTGCGGTCCGTCCAAAAACCTAGACATCAGTTTGGTTGAAGCGAACTCTGGTGTAATTCAAATGCATATGTGAACGCCAAGCGGACCGGAAGCTGTTCCAAAAACTGAAAGCAGACTATTGCGCAGGGCATTCTGGGTAAAAACAATCAAAACAATGGGGACTAGCACTAGCAAGAGAAATGACTCAGGGGTGTCTTTTGCCAAAGAGAAAAGAGAAATCATAACTGCTAAAAATCGGATGCTACCACATTTTTGTTTACGTTTTGTGAATCAAGGAAGCGCTCAGGGTCTTCTTCAGAAGTTTTCAAGTCATTTCTTTCAGTGGTTCTCGGTGCAGCGCCACCACAGGCGAGTGAGAGAGTTTGGCTCATTTGAAAGTGAACCACATCAGCTGAAAATGTAACAAACGTGGCAGATTTGGTCCCTAACTGAACCGAGTCTACTGGACGATCAGCCGTGACAAGACCCTCGCATTAAGCAAAGTTTGAATGAAAACACTTTAATTTTGCCAAGAAAAAGCATAAAATGATGAAATTCAGCAGTATGATCTACTTTTTAAAACTGAAGCAGCCATTAAAAGTTTAAACAGAAGAAAGTTTCAATAGAAACAGAGTCTCTGGGAGAAACGTCTCCATAGACTGTTTCAAATCAGACTGGAAGGTTTTCAGTAGGAACACCTGCAGCTGCAACCCCCGCTGACCTACCTCCTGATGAACGCGGTAACCTGCAGCCCGGACGGTCCACCAGATCTCTTCATCTCCTCTAAACAAAGCAGCACAGAGGGAATCCTCCAAAGTGGCAGCTTAATTCCCGTGGCCCCTCAGTGGGACCCTTATGCTCTCCAGCTCAGACGGACCGCATTGGAAAAGAGAGCTGGGAAAAAGTGAAGCAAAGATGCTGCCAGCTGTGATATGTGTTGAGAGGAATGCACCGGTGTTATCGCTCACTGAGTTATGCAAGAACGATTTGGTGGAAACCTTTGCCTGGTACAGTATTGGGCCTCTGCCTCCTCATGCACAAACTGCACACACACACACACACACACACACACACACACACACACACACACACACACACACACACACACACTTAGATACACAAAGCCAAGTAGCTCCTGCCTTGAAGATTTTCTAATTACCCTCGGTGAATGGGAGGCAGGCGGACACACAGAGGGCAGACTGCCTAGGTTATCACACACACTTCCAAGACTCCCGGATCTTCTTCCAAACATTCGGCCCTATTTTTAGCTTTCATCTGTGGTGCTTTTTAGTCAGAGTGAGCGAGGGGCATGGGAGGTATCGAAATCAGAAGATCCGCTTTGTAACCTGAGCCAAACTGAAACCTTTTCTTCTGAGCAATTTGATTCATTCATTTAAGGAAGAGGAAAAAAAAAAAAAAAAAAAACAAGCCAATACTTGTTAAATTGCAGCAACAACAGCACGTTACTGTTTTAAGTAAACAAAAGTTCTGATAAATATTCTAGACAAAGAACCCTCCACATTTATTGACACTCCTGTAAAAGATATATAAAATGTTTCAAAATGGATTCATTGTAGCAGCATAATCTCACAATTAATATTTAATTTGAGTACATTTATTCTGAAAAAAGGTGAAGAAGTTCATGTTTTAAATAAAATCACCACCACCATACTAATTATCAGCCACTGTTGACCATCCAGACAATCATCTTAGCCGTTACAAAGGATCACAAATGGATCTTTGACTATTCTTCTTTGTACAGCTCTTCCAAAATCCTGGATTCTTTCTTATAATCTATTCAGCTCACTGAAACGTTTTCTACTAGATTCAGTTAAATCCCAATTATAAAACAATGCAGTCATGCTCAGATTCTGAAGAAGTTATCCATGAAGCACAGCTGATTACATTGAGTAATTAACCTCACATCAAGATGGAGGCGGTGGAAAGGAGCGAGAGACGACACGACGCTACTGACAGCAATAGCTCAGCTGATTGCCCCCTGCAGAAAGGCCTCACAGATTAACAGAAATGTAACTTCTGTAAAGAAGAAAAGAACAGAAAACAAAACACTTTTTATAGCAATAATTGTGTGTAACGTATGATCGGAGAGTAGTAGGAGAAAGAAACAGAGGAAGGAAACGTGGTCTGTTGCAACAAAAGTACTGAGGTAGCTCAGGGTAACAAAGGCCTAGACAATAAACTTCATCACAAAGGGTTATAAGCGTAGCTTGGTTCTGTAGTAGAGCAAGCACATGTCTCCAGTTAACATCCCAGGAGAGATTAACGTATTTCACGTTTACATTTGTGATGGTAGGTTAGAAAAGGTGTGTTATTTTTTAATTGGCATCATGCACAACACAAATGTTTGGCATGTAAATAGAATCTGATGGATGCTATTTACATTAAATGCTCCAAAAATGAGCTTGGTGATAAAATAAATATGGGTCCTTGGTGTCAATGACTAAAGGACATTGGACACAGTATCATTTAGTCATTGACACACTAAATGACTAAATGATAATGACTCTGTATCACAGGGAAACAGGAAGTCATGGATTAACAAGTAGAAGTTCTCAGAAAAATAATTAAAGTAGGAATTTAAGATAAATTCACACTGTAAAAACATAAAATCTTTCCAGGAAATTTTGATCTAATTTCCAGTGCAAATATCTTAGTGCACTTGAAATAAAACAAAACTTACTTAGAAGTGACTTTTCACCAAGATATAGTAGTTTGAGTCAATAAATTCCTTAATTTTGATGAAAAAGTTCTAGTTCCACTGGGAGATTATTTCACTCATAACATGAGAAAATATCTTGGTATAAATGAATTTCTCTGCCAATGGAACAAGCATTTTTCCCCCACAATATTAAGGAATTATTGACTTAAAACAAGCTCCTATTTCTTGCTGAAAAGTTATTTGTAAGTTAGTTTTGTCTAATTTCAAATTTGAAACTAGGCCAGAAAAACTTGGTAAAATTGGGTCTTTGAAGTTATATTTATTATATTATATTTAGTATAGTTAAATTTAGTTATATTTATTATGTTTCTGTTTTTAAAAAAATGTTAACATGCGGTCCCCCAAATTAAAGATTGTATTTGTATGAAAATTTAGACAGCCGCAGTAAGAGCTGAATTTATCATAAGAAGACATTTGACTCCTTTTTTCTCATCCAGCTAACTGGATGGTGTGCTGTTGCTGTCAACTACGCCTTGCATAAATCTCATTGAAAAATTGCTCTGTGCACAAGCGTCCAATCATTTCTAAGTGAGTCTTTACAAGAATGATGGCCTTGGAAATAAAGCTTGAAGAAATTTAAGACTTTTTCCACAGGACGCTGTCTTGATGACTTCTGCATGCCATCATTTTTTCTTAATCACCATTTAGCTGTTGATCTGCATGAAATGCTCTTCTGAAACTGTTTACGGCTCCCTGGACTATACAGAGCGGCAACAAGGCAACAAGCTGCGGCAACGAGCTGCGGCCTGGAGCTGCGGCGCTGAACAGAGTAACAGTAAGGCGAGGAATCGTGGTCTCAGGTGAACACATGAAAGAGGGGAGGTCGCTGGATTTAAGGCTTTTTGTCTTTGGGCGTTCAAAGGAGACAGCTGTCGACTGCACAGGGCCTGGCTCTATTCATGTGGGAGGGACCGCAGACAGAGAGCACGCCAACATACACACACGCATATACTTCAAAGGAAGGTGTGTGTGTGTGTGTGTGTGTGTAAGTGTGAATACAAGCCATCTCCCCACTGATTGTTGCTGTTATTATCATCATTTAACAATATGCTCGCTTTTATTCATGTGACCATAACTGTATGTTTATTCTCAAGATCTCTGTGGTATCTCTAGTGCTTTCATCGTATACGCACATAACAATAATCCCTCTGTCTGACCTGCAGCGCTTTGCAAAAGTATTCGCACCGCTTGAACTTTCATTCTGTCACGTTGCGACAGCAGACGTCGTCTTGTGCTGGGATTTTATGTGAAAGTCCAACATGAAGTAGAGCAAAAATTCACACATGGAAGAAAAACGACACGTTGGTGTTTAACATTTTTTATGAATAACATTTTTTTTTTTTTTAAATGGGGCGTGCATTTGCATTCAACTCCCCTTGCAAAATCCCAGCAGCTGTTCCATTAAAGCCTCAGAGGTTCCTCGTTAGTGACCAAACAGCATCATGACGACCAGGACACAGGTCAGGGAGAAAGTTTAAAGTGGAGTTAGGTTATAAAATAATCCACAAACAGCTTACGTAGGAGAATCTGTGGTCATATTTACTCCTGCACTTCACATATCTGGCCCTTATTGAAGAGGAAGAAGGAATCCATTGTTCACGTCTTTAGAAATCAATACAGCCTGTGTGTATGACTAAACACACAGGCAAAGCTAGTCAAATCAAGTCACGTTTATTTGTACAGCACATTTCAGCAACAAGGCAGTTCAAAGTGCTATACCCCATGAAAACATCATACAGTCACCAATTACGAAACAAGAAATAAACATTACATTTTGTCAAATGTTATCATCATCAAAAGCAAATATCAGCCGCATTGGCAGATAGAGAAAACCTGTAGCGTCTGCATATAAACACATGCAACAGATTTTAAGATTCTTATTTGAAAAGACAAAAAAAAAACAAACAAAATAAAAACAATACGGATTGTGCTTGTAACGTGACAACATATGAAAATGTTGAAGTAGTACGAAAACTTTTACAAGGCACTGCCATGATAACCATTTTAATATCCCCTTAGGGTGCAAACCTCTTCTGCATTTAAAACAACCGTCTGGAAATTCCCATGTTTGCTGCCTTTCTGTGTGCAGACTGTCTGAACGCACTGACCCGGGTCAAAGTTGAAAAATTACAAGCAGTTGGTCATTTTGGTAACAGATTACTATCATTTGCTTATTTTGTCAAACCAGATTAGAACATTTTTGAGGGAGGACCATTACTCACGCCTTCTCTTGGTGTCTGAAAGATGAGAGGCATCTTAATTGTTATCTTTTTGATCCGATTTAGTCTTCCGTACGGTAAAAAGCATTTAATGATGTCATCTGGTGTTTGTCACCCAGGAGTCGTGTTATTTTGAGATCCACAAAAGAAATTTAAAAAATCTAATTATCTGCAAGATTTCTGAATGATTTTACAAGTTTTTTCTTTGGACTTTGGTTTCTTTCTTGTCTATTTGCTGTTCAGGACCAGAGTATTTTCAGTTTAAGAACATCTACCTCAAATTTAACTTTTTAAGGCAAGTCAAGTAAAGTTTATTTGCATTGCACAATTCAAGAACAAAGGCAGGTCAAATTGCTTTGCACCAGATGCTGCTCACTTGGTAAAACTAATGTTTTCAGCCCACATTTAACAATATACTTTCACAGTAAAATACATGCACTGCACTAAACCTTAGTGTCCAAAGATGAATTTTTCACAAATTGTAAAAATATTGACCAAGATTAACTCAAAATGTAACCTTAAACATTTTGTGGAGTATTTTGGCTTTGAGGGTGTGAACTTGGAAGAGATAAAGAAATCGGTGACTGTCCGTCCTGTTTTGGACTTTCTTTTTCTTTTTTTCAATATTTAAGGCAAGAATCGTGTTTGTTGCAAAAAAAAAAGAAAAGAAAAGAAAAGAAAAAACACAGAAATCTTGAACATGTTGAGCATAAATGTTGAATTTTATTTGAATGAAGACGCTGCTGGTGGCTGGATGCTGATCTGTTCTTTTAACTAAGGTAGTGATGCCTCTAGTTTTCAGAAGGTGTCACCAATACTGAGGTGGCACACCAAAACGAAAAGTCAAAAAAACGACATTCTGTAAAGAACAAGGAAATGAACAGAGAAATTTAATCAAACGACAACTAGAAACCCAAGCCCTGCTCTATTAACACTGATAATCCCATATGCTCAATGTTGTTAAGAAGGAATAACGTAACACAAGTGGTGGATGCTCTTTAGCTAAATACAAAATTGTACGAAGGATCTGGATGCGCCACTGACAAAAGCATCTGGTCAGTAATTCAACATCATTTGATTGACATATGAAAAACAAAGTGAGGCAAACCATTACTTTTGAAGCCTCCATTTTGCCATGTGAACAAACATTTCCTTTTACCTAAAATGATTTTTTTTCCCTCTTCCTGTTGGCTGCTCTGATTCTTCCCGGCGACTTCAGTCTTCAGTTGACATTTGCATAGGAGGCAAATCAGTCAGGCTGCATGAAAGGAGAGCTGTGGCAACAGAGCAAAACATGGATATTCCTAAAATTAGGAAGTCACGGCAACAAGAGGTGACTTTCATAATACTTGCAGGGCACTCTAATATTTAAATAGTTATCTGAAGATGCATCATGGTGTTTGAATGTGGATATGTTTGAAGTAATAGAATAAATTCAACTAAAACTTTTTTTGTCATTCACTTCCTGTTTTTTTTTAAGTATATAACAATTAATTTTGTAGCACAAAAGCAATATCAAGTCTAAAACTGCATGTCAGCATGATGTAACCCTTGTATTTATAATCCATGTTTTCTGGAGCACAGAACATAATGAAAACGCATAAATCTTGAATAATGAGGAAACACGACGCACCGTCTCCTGAAAGCATCCCTGATATTTTCCTATGCAAATAACTTTGCATTCGCTGGGATGCAGCTGTATCAGCTGCAGGAGACAAGGCTGCTTTGTCACGCCCCTTCCTTCCTGACTTTGTTTGTTTTTTGTTGTTTTTTCATATTAACCCCCAGATGCAAAACTTCATTTTTGACAAAACCTTTTGTTCACGAAAGTAAAAGGAAAATCCAGAGGAATCATCAAACTCATCATAATCAGCAAAAAAAAAAAAAAAGGAGCAATTACTTGCAATGAGGTGAGGAAATGTGAGTCATGGTAAAAAAGCATTTTAAAGCTTTAATCCAACTAAAACCAAACGTTTGAGCAGAACTTTTTGAAACAAACATTTCATTTTGG